AAGATGCAAGCGTTTGTAAGTATGTATGTTTATACGTATATATGTACGTACGATTATGCGAAAACTTCAGAAAAACAAAGTTCCTTAAATGATCAAACACTAGTTAGACTGCTGGGAGCGCAGAATCTACATGTATGGTTATGCAGTTGCAGTATACTGAGAGCTACACTGCTTGTGGGGGCGAAGAATAGGCCCAAAACGTAAGTTAAAAATGTTTATTTGCAAGCAAGAATGTTTTTAACAGCTGTGCTTCGGAATGCACGCTAATTTGGTTTGAGGGGCGCTTTGTAATTATGCGCAAATATATGAGAGGTAGATATATGTAAGTAGGTAAACAAAGGGATCACCATGCATGTGCGTATGTATGCCTGTATATATGTAGGTATGTTTGTACGTATATTTAGGCGCCTACTGGGTAAGCTGAACTGATATTATTTTTTTATCTTTGTGACAATAGAGCGGAATTTGTGTGTTTACTTTTTTTTGCTTTTTAAATGGGTGTATTGTATGTATAAGTAGGAAGATTAAAAAATTCCTTAAGAACTTTATGATCATGAATTTTTACTTCCCTTTTGTTTTCCCGCTTTTTTGCCTCAGAAAGTGGTGCTGGCGATTATTGTTGGTGCTGATCAACTCGCCTTATGTTGGTAAGGTGCTGCTTTTGCCTCTGTTGCTGGTGCGCTAGTTGCTGAGCTCCTGATTGATGTTAATGTTGTTTTTTTGATGATGACAGGTTATAGTTTGGCGGTAACAAATATTTTTTGGTGGCTTTCTGGTCTTTGTATGCACCAATTTTATTTTATTTTTCAGTTTCTTTGTTTTCGTTCACCGTCTTCACACTTAATGTTTTGTACAAATGTTCACTTTCAAATTGTATTTTCTTGTTTTTTGTTGTTGCGTTCATATGCCCATAGGTGCCTTTCGTTATGGCGAAGAAGGACCATAGCAACGCGAGGAAGGTTTTCTCGCGTTCGTTTTAAATAAAACCACTCGCGTTTTATATTTAAAACGTTATAAATGTTGTATTTTTAATAATTAAAGCAGGAATAAGATATATAAATGTCTATTTGTTGCCGTTAAACTTCCCGGTAGCCGTTTCCCCGTGTGCGCGCGTTGACTGTTGATATTGGAGTGTGTTTCCTTTCTCCACTTTCTTTTGGTCATAGCGTCGTCGCAGTGGAAAGAAAGTCACCAAAGGGAGGGCTAGGGTGCGCACGTCATATTAATCGGACGATTAAACAGTGAGTATTATCTAACTCTAGTATATTTCGACAGTATCGTTGTCTCTGTGGGTAAAAACAAATATATTTCACTGGTCAATATTGGAGGGGGTGTGAAACAAAATTGACGACGTATTGTTAGTATGAAGACTAGAAACACAGTTATCAACTTATTGAGCATTAGACCTCTTCTCTTTCAAAAACAAAAGGAGAAATGTTCGGTTATTTGTTCAATGGATTTTGAGTTGGCAAGCGGAGGCGGACCCATTAAAGAATCGGGTAAAATTAGAATTTTGAAAGTCCAACTTCGGCTACGCTGCCACGCTACCACAGTATTTTTGAATAATTTGTATCTGAAATTTAGAAATATTTATATTAAACTAACGTGTAATTGTTTGACCACACGTGTGTGTGAAATTTTTTAGCTTTCGGTTAAGCATTTGGGCACATTAACCTAAAATTATTGTACAAGTAACCGAGCCGTACCCAAAAATATACCTTTTGCTTGCTCAAATTTCGATTCTAAAAAAATGTTTGTAAGTAACCAAAAAATTAATAACAAAATTTGGAGGGTTTTACATATTGGATATGGTAGCACGAAATGTCACAATCTACTTAATTGTCAGGTTGTTTATATGGCGACGAAAAACTGACAATGAAACTACATTCTTTTTATTACAAGCTTTTATTTAACTTCACGTGTATGTATGTATGTATGTATGAATGTATCTTTGTATGTCCTAGAACTTTGCAGTCAATATTTAACAAACTTCCTGATGAGCTACAGACTTGAAACTTCAAACTTAGCTCAGTACTCGAGGACAATGCAATATAAAAGATGACTTAATCCGCTAGATGCCGCAGGAGTCGCGATATTTGTAAAACCCGCATTTATAGTCTGATCTGGTTCATATTTGGAACATATATTACTTATATGAAAACAAATAAATGCAAGTCGCTAGGTGGCGCAGGAGTCGAGATATTTGTAAAACCCACATTTATACTCTAATCTGGTTCATATTTAGAACGTATGTTATCTGCGTGAAAAGAAATAAATCCGCAAAAAATTTTGCTGATAGATGGCGCAGGAGTCGAGATAATTGGAAAAACCGTTTTATGATCCGATTAAGTTCACATTTGGAATGCATATTGCTTACATGAAAAGAAATAACTATACAACAAATTTTGGCAGCTATGTGGCGCGCGAGTCTGTATAACTAAAAAAACGGCATCTGTGCTCCGATTTGGTTTATATTCAGAATATGTGTATTACCTATTTAATTGAAATACATTGAAAATTTTGTTTGTTAAGGTCAAATCTAGCACGTTAGGTAAAAAGTGTAGCTAAAAAGCAGGGTGCGGAAAATTTTCTTCGCATTGAATTTTTGCTACTTCTTACAGATATTGCATTGAAAATTATGTCAATATGCTGCAATTAACTTTACAGTGGACTTTATTTTGACTATAACTACGGGCCAATCACTTTAATCCCATTTTTAGCTAATTTAAAAAAGTTAAATTAAATCAAGTTAGGGAACTTGCTATTCCTCTTAAACGGAATCGCTATATCTATAAATTATTTGATACTTTTTAATTCTTGTTGTAATAGAAACGTTTTTTTTGTTTTTTAACTATAATTTTATTTGTATCATGATAGAAAATATCACGATAAAAACATTGCGATGTTCTCAAAATCACATAAAATTGAAAATAAAGAAATCAAACTGTTCAGAACTTTTGTGGTTTGATATTGAAAGTGAGAATGTGTGTGTGAGTTTGAGTTTTGAATTTTAAAAGTGTATTAGTGGGATTCATGAAACGTAGCAAAGTTGTTGCAAATGACACATTTGTTGCGAAATTTGCGACCTTGCGACACAGCTGATTACTTTTTTATGGAAACTCTCCTGCGACAAAATTGCTCCATTGCCATAATAGTTGAGCTAGCAATCATTGCAATCTCAAAGTCGCGAAACACATGATATTTTATTGTTCTCGGATACTTCAAGAAAAAGTATATCAGTTAAGGCTTCTTCAAAATATAATGGTAAAAACTTTTCTTTTTCACTTACACGCGGCATTTCCCAAACAATACCTGAGTAATTACATGTAAAAACAACATTTTAAGATGCCCTTTAACATGTCGTGAAAATAAAAAATTGAAACCATCAGCGTTTTTATGAAAAACAGACTACCGCGACCTCCAAATTTTTTTTTTTCAAAATAAAAAAATTCTCGTATTTTTTTCTCACAAATAACAATATTTTGATGTAGCCTTTATTCATTTTTAAAGAGTGTTTTTGAGCCACTCTAATATATATATATATATTTTTTCTTCAACAGACTAGATTCGGAGATAGCGTTTAAATTTTCTGGGCTTGGGATACGTTTACTATTTTAGTGTTTTCTAATTTTTTTTTTTGAATCAGCTCTTTTTAGTTATTTCTTTTCTTCAATAACATATGAGATCGATAAAGCAGTCGTTGTATTTAACCGGAGATTCTACCTCCGCTTTGTGCGAATCAGACATTGAACAACCGGCCCTAAGTTGCCAAAAAGCACAGGGCGATTAGGCATAAACGTAGAGGAAAAAATTTCGGAGCAAAATTTAACTTGGTATCGGGTTTCAATACGAGTGGTTTTTTCGATACCTACTCAGTACTTGGTTCAAAAGTATTGATGCCAAAATTACTTGGTATCGGGCGAAAAGTATCAAGTATGTACTTGTATCGTTTCATCCCTATCTATAAGTAACGCTTATATACAGCGTTGCTGCTTCGGTAATTTTTAACCAAAATTGGTAATTTTTTCTTTATTTATCAAGTTCGGTAATTTGGTAAATTATTTTCCTATTTGGTAACTTTTTCGATTCGGTCTTACATGTCAAATAGGTCAACAGTGGTTCTGACTCCACATTAGGTAATCCTGAAAGTTTCGGAGGGCGGGAGTTGTTGGCTATTGCTAAGTATATCCACCGTGTCCTTTCCTGGAAGGTTTTGGGTGGTCCAACCTTTCCCTGTCAGTTCGTCAGCTTTTCAATTACCATAAATTTTCCGGTGTACCCGGCAACCATATATGAGCCATTCTTTTTTAAGTCGGACGGATTTCGTAACAAAAATTATGTCATGTCTCCGATTCGCTTCAAATTATTTTTGTGGGTTCTATACATGAAAAAAACTAACACGTGTTCGAGGAAATTTTTTTCTTATTTTTTTCTTCGGAGATATGATCTGTCAAAGTTTGAAATTTTTCGTGATTCTGATTAATAATGTACTTCGTCAAATCGTTATATCTCGTGTTCTGCTGATTGTACAGACTTCACCTTAACGCCATTTTAAAGCCAAGAAACGGGCTTATTATTTCTATATATAAGATGGACAAGCTTAGCTATTAACAGTTGAACTTTTTTAAGTTGATTTGCATAGTGAAGACCAGTAAATTAGGGATTTAAAATTATACCATCGTAATCCTTGCTTACTTATCTATAAAAAAAAAACGTGATTAAAAAAAACTATTTTTAAAATATTTTTCTTCGTGACGAGATGGTTTATTTTGTGAGAATCAACAATTATTTGTATTTTTTTCGAAAACCTATGATAAGATATATTTGGTAAGGTGTTAAACATCGGGTTCTTGCAAAAAGGTCAATTTTATTGCGGATTCCGATAGAATACCTATCCAGATATAATATTTGTATTTAATAATAATTTTTGAGCTATAGGCCGTATGTTAAATAAAACATTAAATGTTTTTCTGTTTTATTTACTTTTTTATTTTTATTTTGGTCGATATTTCGCCTTCAGTCTGAAGGCATCTTCAGAACTAAAAAAAGACTGAAGGCGAAATATCGACCAAAATAAAAATAAAAAAGTAAATAAAACAGAAAAACATTTAATGTTTTATTTAACATACGGCCTATAGCTCAAAAATAATTATTAAATTATACTCAACGGCCAATAAGCAACACAATCATAATATTTGTATGGCAAGATTTTTCTTTAAGCCGACAGACCGCTAGAAATGGGCTTGACAATTGCAGGTGTAGTGGTAAGCAGTGCGCGCTTCCACTCCACAGCACCTGGGTTCAAGCCCTGGTCAAAGCAATTTTGCAAAAAAAATATAGAAAAAAGGTTTTTTCTTAACTGCGGTCGCTCCTCGGCAGGCAATGGCAAACCTCCGAGTGTATTTCTGCCATGAAAAACTGCTTCTCATAAAAATACAATCGCTGTTCGGAGTCGGCGTAAAACTGTAGGTCCCTGGTCTTTTTGTGACAAAATCTAGGCGCACGCCACAAATCGGAGGAGAAGCTCGGCCAAACACTAACATATGTGTAAGCGCCAATCTATTATTATTATTATTATTAATTGCAGGACTAAGATTATGAAAACGCAGATTTTATTGCGGATTTCGGCAGAACATCGCTTCGTTAACAATATTTGTTCCACAACTTTTTCAATTCATATAGATATTCTGGCGAAATCCACAATAAAGTCTAAATTTTTGAACTGTGGTTTTAATATAGCCACGCCCATTTCTGGAATATTCTTTGATTGAAAAAGTTGTGGAACAAATGTTGTTAACGAAGCGATATTCTGCCTACAACTGCAACGCCCTTTTTAGNGTAAATCTTTTATCTTTGGTTTTAATATTGCCACGCCCATTTCTAGAATATTTCTTGATTGAAAAAGTTGTGGAACAAATGTTGTTAACGAAGCGATATTCTGCCGAAATCCGCAATAAAACCTGCGTTTTGCAAACTTTAGTCCTACAATTACCACGCCCATTTTTAAGGGTTTGTCGCCTTAAAGAAAAATCTTGCCATACAAGGATAGGTATTCTATCGGAATCTGCAATAAAATTTTAATTCTTGCAAAAACTCGATGTGTAACACCTTACTAAATATATCTCAACATAAGTTTTGGAATTCAAATTACAAAAAATTTTTGATTCTCACAAAATAACGTCATGACGAAAAATATTTTAAAAATAGTTCTTAAAAAAACCCCCATTTTTTTAACCACGTTTTTATAGAGAAATAAACAAAGATTACGATGGTATAATTATAAATCCCTAATTTACTGGTCTTCACTATGCAAATCAGCTTAAAAAGTTCAACTGTTAATAGCTAAGTTAGCTTTAGGACAATCTTGACCATAGAAGTATTAAGCCCGTTTCTTTAGCTTTAAAACGACTTTAAGATGAAGCCTCTACCATGGGCCCAGATACAACGATTTGAAGGAGTACATGATTAGTCAGAATCAGAGAAAAGAAGAAAAAAATAAGAAATAAAATTATAGTTAAAAAACTAAAAACACGCTTTTATTACAACAAGAACTAAAAAGTATAAAATAATTCATATATATAGCGACTCCGTTTAAGAAGAATAGGAAGTTCCCTAACTTGATTTAATTTAACTTTTTTAAATCAGCTAAAAATATGATTAAAGTGATTGGCCCATAGTCATAGACAAAATAAACTCCACTGTAAAGTTAATCGCAGCTTTTTGACGTAATTTTCAATGGGATATCTGTATAAAAAACTGCAACAAACTTTACTGTGGAGTTTATTTTGTCTATGACTACGGGCCAATCACTTTAATCATATTTTTAGCTGATTTAAAAAAGTTAAATTAAATCAAGTTAGGGAACTTCCTATTCTTCTTAAACGGAATCGCTATATATAACAATTATTTTATACTTTTTAGTTCTTGTTGTAATAAAAGCGTGTTTTTAGTTTTTTAACTATAATTTTATTTTAAATATTTTTGTATACTATTTTTTGAAATTTTTAGCAGGGTGCTGAGAATGATCAAAGTACGATCTTTCTGCAACTAATCGCGGTCAAAACCTCATAACTTTCAATTTATAGTGATTTATAAAGTTCCACGGCGCATAAAAGCGTTTACGATCTCTTACGAGCATACTAATGATCGTTAAGATCACAAACGATATTTACATACGCATATTCATAAAACAATAGAATACAAACTACTTTGCGTGAAAAAGGCTTAGTAAGGCACTACCTGAATCTGTATTTGCGCGTGCATGCGAAGCAGGCGAAAATGTTTTCGCTCACGACCGTTTTCTTAAGTATTTACAGCGGTAAAATACAATCGCAAAACGAGCTAATATGAGAAGGTCGTACTATTAATCGTTCGCGGCCAAAATTTTCCGCGACCTGCTTTTTAGCTACATTTTTTACCTAACGTGCTAGATTTGACCTTAACAAACAAAATTTTCAATATATTTCAATTTAAATAGGTAATACACATATTCTGAATATAAACCAAATCGGAGCACAGATGCTGATTTTTTTTAATTATATAGACTCACGCGCCACATAACTGCCAAAATTTTTTGTGTAGTTATTTCTTTTCATGTAAGCAATATGCATTCTAAATGTGAACTTAATCGGATCATAAATACGGGTTTTACAAATATCTCGACTACTGCGCCACCTATCATCAAATTTTTTTGTGGATTTATTTCTTTTCATACAGGTAATATATGTTCTAATTATGAACCACAGCAGACTATAAATACGGGTTTTACAAATATCTCGAACTTAATCGGATTTTCAACACGGTTTTTCCAAATATCTCGTCTGCTGCGCCACCTGTCGGCCAACTTGTGGATTTATTTATTTTCATATAAGTAATATATGTTATAAACAGGGAACGGATTTTTAGGACCTAAAACCCTATAAAAAAGGCAAAATAAAGTAATGAAATAGGCTGGAAAAGGCAAAATAAAATAGCGAAAAAGGAAAAAAAAAGGTATTGCAAAAATAGCAAAATAAGGCACTAAAAAAAGACAGAAAATACGAAAAACAATCAAAAAATATATTTATTTTAGAAATGTTTATATTAAAAGTAAAAAGAGAAAAACTATGAACTAGTTTCATTATATGAAAAATTTGTACTTTTAATCTTTGACTATTTTATCCTTTCGAGTTTCTAATTCATAAAACTTTAATATGTATAGTTGTAGTAACATTGAACCACAAGATGCATTTTGAAGTTTTCTGGCAGCATTTTCATTCGATTTTCGCGAAGAAAAGCCTTGAATGTACTAAATGTGCGCTCGACGTAAGTTGATACAAGTGGAGCCCAATTTAAATATGGAACGTTTGAAACGTTCATATTATCAGGAATAAGGGCATTTTCCTCGCCCTTTACAATTTGATCCACACCCCTTATTGTCTCCAAGCCTACGTTTGCTGAGAAGACGGCTTTGAATTTTTTCAACACCAATTTGGCAAGAGGTCCCTGCGCTTCTATAAGCCGCATGGGCATGAGTATATTTTTTAATCTAAAAAAAAAAATTGTAAATGCTATAAACACTTTTTTAAAGGTAGAAAAGGCAAAAAACGGCAAAAATCTTAAAAAAGGCAAAAAAAGGCAAATATCTAAAAAAGGCAAAAAAAGGCAACATCAAATGTGTATATATGGAATCAGGGAAAGCTAAATCATGTACATTCTTAATCGAATATACTCTATCTCTTTAGCAGAAAAAAAGGCAATTTCCATAAAATCCGTTCCCTGGTTATGAATATGAACCAAATCAGACCATAAATGCGGGTTTTACAAATATCTCGACTCCTGCGCCACCTAGCGGATTAAGTCATCTTATATATTGCATTGTCCTCGAGTTCTGAGCTAAGTTTGAAGTTTCAAGTCTATAGCTCATCGGGAAGTTTGTTAAATATTGACTGCAAAGTTCCAGGACATACAAAGATACATACATACAAATATACATACATACATACATACATACATACAAGTGAAGTTAAATAAAAGCTTGTAAAAAAAACTCCTCGAACACGTGTTAGCTACTTCATGTATAGAACCTATACAAAAAATTTGAAGCCAATCGAAATTGAAAAAGAATGCCTCAGATGTGAAGAATTAAACGTTAATACGTATGTTCTCGTTCAAAAAGCTACGGCATTCAGCGTTCGACTTCACTCTGTCTATGTGTGAGTCGAAAAATTTCCTTCAAGCGGTGAATTTTTGATATATTTTCTTGTCAGTTGTTCACATACAGTGGTCGAAAAAATTATAGCCGCACCATATTTTGACAAGTTTTAACATACCATTTTTTTTTGTAATTTAATTTTGGTTATTTTTTATAAAAATATTGTTCTTTCTTTAACAGAGCTCAAGCAAATTCAAATTTCAAACATTGTTCAATATTTAAAAAAAATTCAACAAACTTTCTTAAAAACTTTAGGTTAATGGAGCGCTGATTGCCTGAAAAGCTTGGTATCTTCGGATANCCATTTTTTTTTGTAATTTAATTTTGGTTATTTTTTATAAAAATATTGTTCTTTCTTTAACAGAGCTCAAGCAAATTCAAATTTCAAACATTGTTCAATATTTAAAAAAAATTCAACAAACTTTCTTAAAAACTTTAGGTTAATGGAGCGCTGATTGCCTGAAAAGCTTGGTATCTTCGGATATACATATGTACAGACATATCGAGCCCTAACTGCCAAAATAACGTAAGCGACATTTTTTTCAAAATTTTCTTTTTGATTCAGAAAGGCATCTAGATGCTCTAGGAATGTTTCGGCATCAAAAAGAAAATTTTTAAGAAATGTTGCTTACGTTATTTTGGCGGGGCAGGACTCGTTATGTATGTTTCTACACTTCTGCACAAAAAATAAGTTTGGTATTTTTTTGTCCAATTTGGAATTTTTTTTTATTTAATTTAATTTAATTTAATTTATTTAATTATTTAATGTTAATTAGTACATTAAGATGTAATCTTTTCTTGTACAGCGATGTATATATAAGAAATTAAATACATTAACAATTAAAAATACACAGATGAAATATTTAATAATTTAAAACATTAATTAGAAAAAGAGAAAAAAAATAAACATGAATAAACATAATTTAGCTTGCAATAGCCAATAACTACGTTTTCAAGAAATTTTAATTAGAGAAATACTGAAGTATAAGTTTCTTGAAGCTGCCTCTAGACAATGACTTCCTTAGCGACTGAGGAAGGGAGTTCCAAAGTCTAACAGCATTAACGAAAAACAGTCGGGAAGAGCATAAGTAGTTGAACTTGGGCAAAATTAGGGTTAAAGAGCGAGAGCATTTAGAAAATATCAGTTTTTCATATAGGTATTCCGGTTTCCCATGAGTAATTATCTTAAAGATAAAGACGCAGTTCCTGGCATTTAAGAACAACAACAAAGAAAGATGGTCAAACTTCTTCAGAACGTATACGTATCTCGTGGCAAAATTAAAAGCGACGTCCAACTTGTGATTTGAGTGAGAATCTAGTTTGCTATAAACTACCTCAGAATACGTAATGAGTGGAACTATTAAACTCTGAACCAACTTTTTCTTAGTGGCTAAAGGAACATATTGCGAGGTAATTCTAAGATATCGAAGAGTATAATATATTTTGCTCACAGTTTTGTTAACATGATACTCACAAGTTAGCTTAGAGTTAATGACAAACCCAAGATTTGTAACTTTGTCAACTAATTTAAGTGGAATCACGGAAGGCTCAATGTTTTCTTTAAATATAGGTAGTACATATGACTTCTGCGCATTAAGATGAAGTAGATTTTCCTTCGACCACTCAAAGATGGAGTGCAAATCCTCATTCAGCCTATAGCTAAGGTCTTCGACCAACCCTATTCTGTTGGAGAGATACAGTTGAACGTCATCTGCATACGCATGTACATGGGCATTCAAGCATCTCGTAAATATATCGTTGATAAACATACTAAATAGTAGAGGGCCAAAAATGGAGCCTTGTGGCACGCCTGAAGAGATGGGGGCAAGTTCAGAGAGCTTATTACCAGACTTAACTTTTTGGAATCTACTACTTAAGTAATCTTTAAGCAGCCTTACAGCGCTTTCACTGAAACCAAAATAGTTGGCTAACTTATTACACAACAATGTGTGATTAACGGAATCAAAGGCTTTGGAGAAATCGAGTAGGCAAAGCAAGGTAAGGTGGCCTTGATCGAAAGGGTGACGAATATCATCCAACACTTTTACAATTGCCGTTGAACAACTATGATGGGGCCTGAAACCAGATTGAAGTTGACTCAGCAGCTTATTCTTCTCAATAAAAGCCATAACCTGTTGAGCTATAAGACTTCCGAATACTTTGGAAAGTCCCGGTAAAATGCTTATGGGCCTAAAATGGCACGGGTAAGACGCACCCGGTTTTTAGCTATAGGTTTAACAGTGGCTACTTTCCATACGGCAGGGAAAGATGAAGTAGTAAAGCAGCGATTAATTGTGTGCGTAAAACTACTCAATATATATGGTAAAATAATCTTAATGAATTTAATAGGGAGCTCATCTGCACCCACGGCATTTGATTTTATCCGAAGAACGCACTTAGCTACATCGTCCTCAAAGACTGAATTGAATTTAAATTTTTCTGCCAAGTAAAACTTAACAGGTACGCTCCTTGGAATCAATGCACCAATATTCGATGGACAGTTTTTGGATACAAAGAACTCATTTAGCAAATCGGCATCAAGTTGGCATGGAGCCTCCGAGCCCGAGCGCACACCCAACCGTTTCAAATTTGACCACAGGTGCTTGGGAGGCAAGCATGAATTTAGCTTTGAGCCAAAGTATCTTGGGTTAAAGAATTCAGAGATCCTTATGTCACTAAAGCTCTCTTCATCTCCCTAGTCAGGTCGATCTTAGAATACGGGTTCGTTGTATGGAACCCTAGATATCAAACGCGCTCTGACAGACTTGAGTCGGTACAGAAACAATTCATATTATTCGCATTAAATAATTTGCCTTGGGATTCGACATTAAATCTCCCACCGTACAAAAGGCGCTTGAAGCTCATAAATTTGCCAACGCTGCACAGCCGTAGAGAGATGCTCGGGGTTTTGTTCATGATTAAGATCTTGAACGGGATGGCCAATAGTCCCTTTCTACTGAACCAGATCACGTTTTGTATTCCTTCTAGGCCTTCTAGACAATACAAGCCCATTAAGCTAACTATTTGTAGAACAAATTTTGAAATGCATGATGCTTTTCGTTGCCTATGCCAGGACTTTAATAAGCATTACGACTATTTTGACACCTCCGACTCACATTTTACCATTAAGAAAACCTTACTTGAGATTTTGAATAAATAACATGTAAACCCTTACATTGCACCTTATCGTTCAGCTGGTGAACTGTATTTCTGTTCAGTTTATGAGGTAAATGTAAACGTAAATCGCTTTTTTGTAACTAAATAAATTAATATCTTTAACC